GTATGTGCGAGTGCGTGGCTGTAGGTGCTTGCTAGCGAGCAGCGCCAAGCATTAGCCCCTTGATCTTGCCTCACGCATAACAGCATGGTAGTGCTACGGGCTATGGATGTCGGGCATCGCATAGCAGCAGCACCCGCATCACACAAGCAACAGCAGCTCGCAATGTGTGCGTGGCATGCTTGCTGCGTATGTGCGTGAGCTGGCTGGCCAGCTAGCCCAGCCTTGGTGCTAGGCGCCAGCTGGGCAGCCTTGGCAGCCAAGGCAGGCTGCCAGCCAGCCAATGGGGCGTGGTCATGCTTGGTCAAGGAGAGGGACAAAGGTGGTTGGGCTTGCTTGGGGAGCAAGGGGAATTTTGGTCCCCCCCCCCCTTAATGGTCCTCACCTAACATTTCTCACCCATTGACACTTGTCATTTGTTGATTCAATTGCATTTTAATTTATTTTTGATTTAAAAATAAATAGGATAAAATGCATTCTACCACATGGATGGGAGATTGAGGTTCAAGGGTTAAATTCCCTATAAATAACCAAGTTTAGGGTTTGGGAAAAACCACTTGAGTTGAACTCAATGAGGCATCTCCCTTAAGGTGAGAAAACCTCTAAGTTTGTAATATTCTAGTCTTTCTTGGTCTAGCCCCGACTAACCTTCGGGGTAGGGGCCGTTCGAGTCGGGTCTCGTGGGTGGACTCCATTGGAGGTCGTCGCACTTGCGAGGCTAGAGCTTTCGAAGTAAGAGCTCGATTCGTGAGCGAAGCACGCATCAAGGGTATAATTTCTTTCTCTCTTCTTTTAATTATTGCTTAATTATGTTTATGCTTGTTGTAATTGCTTTAGTTATCGGGGCGGGTCTTGGGGGGTTTCCTTTCTGCGTAGTGTGGGTCACTACGAAACCCTACACTTTGTTATTTCAATTTTTGTACACACAATAAATCATTTATAAGTGCAACGTGAAAATGTAAAATTACACACGTTTTTATCTAATATGAGTTTTGTAAACCGGAATTGCTTTTAGGAAAAAGCCTAGTTTGTGGAGACGTATGTACCATCCTCATTGTACATACGCTCCAAAACAACAAAAAGGCGAAATGTACATGCAAGTATATTCCAATGTACTTTCCCTAAGTATTGTTGGGAAGATTTGCAATTCCCAAAATACAGTTGCTTTTTCTTTTTTATTCCCGTCATACCGTCCACGTCAACGGTTCAGAGGGAAGGAATTTTAAACCGGTTTTTTTTTTAAAAAACCGCTACTTGATGTAGCGGTGTATTATGTAAAACCGCTACTTCAGGTAGCGGTTTTCTAATATAAAACCGCTACTTGAAGTAGCGGTTTCATTAATAGAAACCGCTACTTGAAGTAGCGGTTTATGTTAAGTGATTTTTTACAAAATCAGTTCTTCGTTGTCTCATTTCTTTATTTTACAAAATCAGTTCACTTCCCACCAAAAAAAAACGCAAAGAATCCTCCCCACGTTCACAACCGGAATTCGCCACGCGACGAGGACCACCAGAATCCGCCGCCGCTGTTGTCGGTAAACGCCACAACATTCACAAAGGGGGTTGTCGACGCCGGTGTCAGAGCAAGAATCCTCTTTGCTGTTTTTTCATTTGGTAAGTAACTCTTGCCCTAATTTTTTTTTATTCAATTGCCGTGAATGCTGGTGAATTTGGTGAATGCTCGTAAATTTGTTGTTGTTTGGTGAGTTTGACTGATTGTGTTGAATCATTTTGTTTTTAGGTTTGGAGTTTTTCTTGTAGTTGTGATATTGAGCTTCTTGTTATAATAGTATACCTGTATACCACACAATGTATATTTTGTAATTGTTCTGGTTCTATATTTTGCAATTGTTCTTGTTATAACTTTGTGATTTTTTTCCATACTTTGTTGGGTAGTCAAATTTATTTATTTGATTTTGACATTTGAAGTTGGACCTTCACTTATATTTCACAGTCAATATTAATTTGAATGAGTTGGACATATCAAGGGAAGGTAAAACTCTAAATGATTAGATGATGAGGTTTGAGAGGTTGGTGCCTTGGTGGAGTATTAATTGCACCATCATAGATAGATAGAACTACTAATATAAATTAGATGAGGAACCAGCCATCTTGTTTGTCTCTTTTCCTGGCAAAAGTGTTTGTTTTCATTTATTTTTCCTATTTTCCTATGAGTAAAAGAGCTTGATTAGGGTTAGTTAAAAAACGATGTATGTGAATGTCATCATATATTTTGCAACACTAATATCTTTGACTAATCATGGTATTTTCTAGAATGCGTCATGGAGGTACCAAACTACCCTCTATATTGCAATTGGGGTGGAGAAATTATCCACAAAGATAGCGACATAACGTATAGGGGTGGGAATCAAAAATTTGTTTTTGTACATCCTGGGATGACATATTCACAAGTTCTGAATAAGCTGTATGAAGATTTGAGTATTGATCCTAGGTTTGTGGAGTTGAAGGTGGTTATGCGATATCCTATGGCCGAGGCTTATGTCGCAGTTCCGTTGAATGAGGACAATGCTCTTAAGGCTATGTGGATTGATGTGACCCAAAGTTCTTCTATTGCAATGCAATTGTACATTGAACAGGTTCCAAAGGAGCCAGTTGTGCAAACTAATATTGGTTCCTTCCCGGAGATGGAATTTTTGGGTAGTGTGGAGCAACCATTTTCCCTTACTAATCACAGTGTGGGCTTAGGGTCATTCACAAGAATGCTTGTTGATCCAGAATATGTCAATGAACATCCTTCACAGATTAGGTCTCCGACCTCATTGCCTAATGTTGGAACCTCAACAAGCACACAACCACAAGGCTTTCTTGATTCTCTTGACCCAAACAATGTTGATGTTTTTGGGGATGCGAAGATGAATGATACTATTGAAGATGTAATTGAAGCTCATGATAAGGCAATCGCAGAAAGTGCTCCCACTACAGACTTCAATGAAGTGCCGCAAGTTGATCCACGTTTGAATAACTCATGGATGACTTTGTTAGGGAATGAGACATATAACAATGGGGGGGGGGAATTTGAGGTTGGACAGCAGTTTGACTCATTGCAATAGCTGAAAGATGCTGTGAAATCTTACTTCATAGCTAGAAATCAAATAATTCGAGCTGTGGAGGCAGAGCCAGAGAAATATGTTGTTGAGTGCAAGATGAAAGAACAATGTAGTTGTTCGTGGAGGCTTAGAGGAGTGAAAGATCCAACACTCTGTACCACTACAAGAAAAAGGCCAGATTCCAACGGACATCTTCCGACGGACACAAAATTCCTTCGGAAATCCTATATATTCCGGCGGATTTATATTCAGTCGGAAATTTCCAACAGATTTCCTACGGAATAAAAATCCGTCCGAATTTATGGGCTTTCCGACGGAATATTCCGTTGGAAAATTTATATTCCGACGGAAATAAAATCCGTCGGAGATTTCTGACGGAATATTCCGTCGAAACATTAAATTTCCGACAGAATTAAAATCCGTCGGAATATAATTAAATAATAAAAAAAACCCTTATATCTCCGGAATCTTCCTATATAAACCCCTTCAATTTCTCTCTCCTCCTCCTTCTCTTCCTCTCTCCTTCTACTGTATCTCTCTCTCCTCCTCCTTTCTCATTCCATCATTTCTCTCTCCACCTCCTTCTCTTCCTCTCTCCTCTCCTTCTCTTCCTCTACGCCCCTTCTCTTCTTTTTCTATTTTTCTCCTTCTCTTCCTCTACGCGCCTCCTCCTCTGTCGTTGTTCTTCTCTTTTGGTCATTTTCGCCGACACCACCAACGCCGACCTCAACAACAACAAACACCACCGTTTTCACGGTCATTTTCGCCATCAACAACAACAAACACCACCATTTTCGCCATCAACATCAATAACACAAGGTTTTCAAGTCAAATTCGACCATGAAAACCCTAGATCTAGGGCTTTCATGGTCGAATTTGGCCTCGTAAACCCAATTTCGAGGTTTTGTGCGATGGAATCAAGGTATGTTTTTTCGATTTTTTTTTATTTTAATTAAATTTCTTTTTTTCGGTTTTTTTAATTTTAATTAAAGTGTTGTTTTCGGTTTATTTTTATTTTAAATATATTACTGTTTTTCGGTTTAATTTTTTTGAAAATTTATGGTGGTGGTGGTGGATGTTGGAGTTCGGATTTTGGTGGTTGTGGTCGGATCTTTTGATTTTTTTTTTGGGTTGCGGTGTTGTGGTGGTAGAGTGGGTGGGTGGGTTTTTTGGTGGTGGTTTTGGGTGGTTTCGGTGAAGCGCGTAGGTGTGGTGGTGGGTGGGAGTGGTCTGGGTGGGTGTGCTGCTGGGTTTGGTTAGTGGGTCAAGTACGTGGGTTTAGTTTAGGGGGGCTGGTGGGGCTGGTGGTTGTTTTGGGTGGTGGGTCAAGTACGTGGGTTTTTTGGTGGTGATTTTGGGTGGTGGGTCAAGTACGTAGGTTTAGTTTAGGGGGGCTGGTGGTGGGGGCTTTTTTTTTTTATTGTCGTTTCCGACGGAAATTTCCGTCAGAAGGTAGCAGATTCCGATGGAATATTCCGTCGGAAAATTGCGACAGACTCCCGTTTAAAGTCAAATCCAACTGCGACATAATGGATTCCGTCGGAAAGGTGTCTTCCGACGGAATTTCCCTCGGAAAACGTCCATTTTCCTAAGAAGTGTTTTGCGACAGACCTGTTTCGACGGAATTTCGTCGGAATCCAGCTGTTTTCTTGTAGTGTACGTTTAAAATTGTGCGGTACAACGACCCTCATGCAAGTAACTGTGTTAGTGATATCGACTCGGTGGATCATAAGCTACTCACTTCCGAGTTCGTTTGCAATGCTCTTCTAGATGTCATTCGCGTTGATCCTTCATTGACAATCAAGACAATCGTGCAACTTGTGAAAGAGAAGTTTAATGGATTCCAAATAACCTACAAGATGGCTAGCGAAACAAAAGGAAATAAAACTCATTTATGGGGATTGGGAGGGTTCATATGAGCAGTTGCCTAAGTACATGCAAGCTCTCAAGGAATCAAATCCTGGAACTGTTGTTGAGTGGAGGTTGTTAGAGAGTATGGTTCCTGGAACACATCTTTTCCAACGAGTTTTTTGGGCATTCAAGCCATGTATTGATGGATTCCGTCATTGCAGGCCCCTTATCACCATTGATGGAACTCATTTATATGGCAAATACAAAGGGACTTTACTTATTGCTATGGGAACCGATGCTAATTTTCAACTATTCCCCCTCGCTTTTGCGGGTGTTGAAGGAGAAAACAATGAAAGCTGGTCTTGGTTCATGGCTTGTATTCGAGCTCGAGTAACAGATAGGAAAGGGCTATGTGTGATATCTGATAGACATGCTAGTATTTTAGCAGCAATGGAAGAGGTTGGAAGTGGTTGGGAGGAGCCCAATGCCTACCACAAGTATTGCACACGACACTTGGCTTCTAATGTGAACTCAAAATTTAAAAGTGTCGTTATAAAGAACGTCTTTGGCAAAGCAGCTATTGCAAGGCAGAAGAAGAAGTTTGATTACTACATCAACAAAATTGGTGATTTGAATGTAGGGGCCCGTAGGTACTTGATGGAAATTCCTTATAGTAAGTGGTCTATTCATCATGATGGTGGTTTCAGGTTTGGTGTGAAGACTACAAACATGTCGGAAGTTTTCAATGGAGTCTTAAAAGGGGCTCGTTGTCTCCCGATAACTGCTTTAGTGCAAATGAACTTTTTCCGTGTTAACTCCTATTTTGCAACTAGACAAAGTTGGAGTAAAAAAAGACTTAAAGAGGGCCATGAGTACTCAGAAAAGGCTATGAAGACAATAGAAGCCAACATGGAGAAAGCCATGCACCATGAGGTTATTTCTTTTGACTCCGATGCCATAGGGTTATATCAGGTTAGGACTGGCCGTGGAAGGAGAAAATCTGGTAAAGGTGGTAACTCCCACACTGTGAATCTGATGAGCAAGACATGTACTTGTGAGAAATTGAAAATATACAAGTTGCCATGCTCTCATATCCTAGCAGTTTGTCGTCATCGAAGCCTATCACACTCAGACTTTGTGGATTCTTTTTTTAGGATCGCCGAATATAGACTTTCATACTTGAAGTGTTTTGCACCAATTCTAGATCCTTGCCACTAGTCAACTTACAATGGGCCTACTGCAAACGAGCCCCAGTTCAGCGATCCACTAGAATCCGAAATGAAATGGATGAGTGTCCCTATCGTGTCAAGAAGGCATGCAGTGTTTGTCGGCGACCTGGGCATAACAAGAAGACATGTCCTACTTTTAGTGTGGTGTTGGATCATCTGGGTAACGACCATTACATATTGCTAACATGATTAATTATTTATTCTTGTTTTATATTTATGTTTTACACGCTTAACATTATTTCAAATTTATGTTATCATAAAGGTCCCATGGATCCAGTGATTCGACCAGGCCCACTTGATCCATCTGTTCTACGGTTGCAGACTTCCCATAGGAGTCATGATGTTTGGACTGGCGTGGCTGACAGAGTTCTCTCAGTTAGGGAGCATGTGGTCAACGTGGGACGTGAGTGGAGGGTAGAGTCTGGAGTACTAGACTACGTGAGGCGTGTTGGGTTTTACGGTGTGCATAGGATTTTGGGAGGAGGGTTTTTGCTTGACCGTTCTCTTCTTACTGCGTTGGTTGAGAGGTGGAGGTAGGAGACACACACTTTCCACTTTTTGGTGGGAGAGGCCACCATTACTTTACAGGATGTCGCCGTGCTGTTAGGTCTGAGAGTACACGGCCCACCTGTCATTGGACCTCCGTTTGAGGGATGGCATGACTTGGTGGAGGAGTTGGTGGGAGTTCGACCTGGCGTTGATGATAGGGGTAAGCCGTTTTTGGAGTGATCTACTTTGAAGTTGATGTGGCTCAGAAGTCACTTCTGACAGATGCCAGAAGGAGCTGATGACGTGACCATTCAGCGATAAAGCCGCGCTTACATTCTAACTCTCATGGGATCTATTCTCTTCGCCAACAAGAGTGGCGATGCTGTGTCACTCTACTACTTGCCGTTACTTAGAGACTGGGAGACAGCTTCGACCTACAGTTGGGGTAGTGCGACTCTTGGATTTTTGTACCGACAGCTATGTCAAGCATGTCAGAGAGGATCGTGTCAGATTGGAGGCCCACTCATCTTACTTCAGCTGTGGTCGTGGGAGCACATTACTATCGGTCGACCATACGTTAGGAGGCCTCGAGATCCGCCACATGAGGACCCTCTGGATGAGGATGACATTTTGGGGACTCAGCATCAGCGAGGTGTTGACCCTTTGGCGTGAAGGTAAACTGTTTGCTTTAAGTTCATGTTCTTATAGTTCTATCTCTCGAGAATTATTATTAACGAATTTTTACAGGTGGTTACGTGTTCATCTCTCGTGTGCGCATACTGCATCTGGATTATCATATTACCGAGATGCGTTTGACCATCAGTGTGAGGACCAGGTATAATCGGTGTTTCTTTTTTTTTGTGCATTGTTTGTTGTTCATTATATTAGTTATATACAAGTTGACATACTTGTTTTGGGAATTAGATGATTTGGAAGCCATATACTGAGGCGGTGATGGACCGACTTCCGGAGATTTGTCGCTCTGACATGCACATTTGGCGTACACGAGCACCTCTGATTTGCTTTGACGTCGTTGAGTTCCACCTCCTAGACCGAGTCCTTCGTCAGTTCGGGTTAGAGCAGCCGATCCCACAGGCAGTTGACGCAGACGTTGCTCTACACAAGAAGGATCGAAGGGGACAACGTAATTGGGAGATTCAGCATTCGGACCATGTACACGAGTGGAGTCGACGAGAGGCATTAGTCGTCAAGGGAAACCAGTTCACTGGGACTTCTTCCCTAGCCATGACAGAGTACATAGCTTGGTGCCATTGCATCAAGAGGCTGGTCATTACCCCACCTTCGCAGCCACGCCCCCCGAGTTATTACCAGCCAGCTACCTCTGACCTAGTACTTGTATGAACTTCATTTCATTTCAATCTAGTTGTTTCGTTTTTTATTTCATTTTACTAACATTAAAACTACACTTCAATGTAGGCACATGCAATTTTTGATTTGCACGTGAAGCTATCGGGAGCTACTGAGACCATCTTTCATTTGCCACCGGACAAGGCTCTACCATTTTCCATTCAGACGATGCAGGGTCTTACATCATTCGGTGGGCAGACCTTTTCTAGGGTGGGGCATTCACACCTTATTCAGCAGCCTCCAGTGTCCACTTCTTCATCTTCTACTGTGCACACTAGGCCGATCAGACCACCACCACATTGTGGAGGCCATTCATCATGTGCCTTCCATCCACCGACTCCCATTCGCTCTCCCTTTGATGCTCCTTCTCCCTCTCCTACAGTTCCCACTCTCCCACCCCCTTCTCCTCCTCCTCAGCAAACTATCGTCATATCTCCTCCAGTGGTGCTCCGCCAGTATCACAGAGTTCGACAGCGTAGCAAGACTGGGTCTCAGGTTGGAGTTGGAGTTGGCCTGGATGACATTCTAGAGGAGGAGACAGCTACATCACCTTCATCGTCACTTCATGGGAAGAAGCAACGCCCGAGCTAGATGTATATTTTGGAACTGAACTCATATGCTTTTTTGTAAATGATTAGAATTAGACTTTGTTTATATTTAATCATTTGAAAAATATTTGACTTTGTAACTAGAATACCAATGTGTTCATAAGTTGGTTATTTGTGGTGGTTGTGTTGAAGATATGGTATATATATGTTTTACAGGTACACTTGCAAGATTTTTTGGGGATGATTAAACAAGTTTGGAAAAAAAAAAAACTTGACAGGCAAAACCGCTACTTGAAGTGGCGTCTTTTAAGAAAACCGCTACTTGAAGTGGCGGTTTCTTATAAGAAAACCGCTACTTCAAGTAGAGGTTTATTAGGGAAAACCGCTACTTCAAGTAGCGGTTTTCTAATAAGAAACCGCCACTTCAAGTAGCGGTTTCTTCTTAATAAACCGCTACTTGAAGTAGCGGTTTCAGCTTGACCGGATAAAAAAAAACGGTTTTTTGAGCAATGCTTACGTGGACGGTATATTGGGAAAAAAAAATAAAAAGAGGCTGTATTTTGGGAATTAGCCTACTTCCCAACCTTATTTTGGGAAGGCTTCCGTTCATTTATAATGTACATGGGCATAAAAAAGAACATAGTGTTCATTTATAATGTACATGGGCATATAAAAGAACATAGTGTTCATTTATAATATATACGTGAGATTTTTGTGCATCAATTTTGTAAAAAAGAAAATAGATAAGTAGTAATTATTTTTTTACCATATATTAATTACAAATCATTTCAGTTTAATTTTTTTTTTACCAAAAGTAGTTCACTTTCTCTCTCCAAAAAAAAATAATTCAAACCCATTTAAATTCCTCTAACCCTAAGAAAATTTCAAGAAATTCAAAATTTTGAGTCCAAAATTGTTCAAGACAGACAAAAACGATAGGTAAGACCAAATTGGACATTCATACTTGTTTATTTTGAGTTTGAGTGTTTTTTTTATAAATTTGGCTGAAAATTGTAATTTTTTGTTATATTTTTTGGTTTCTTTGGGAATTAATCTACGATTTATGTGATTTTGGTGTTGCAATGAGAAACAAAATGAAGTTCTTGAAGAAGACCGACCAAGTATTACATTTCGGAAGAAGAAATCAAGAAAATAGATAAATTCAGAAAAAAGTTATAGATCTAAATAATACAATGTACATTAAAATACAGAAAAATGTTTTTTTTTTTCATATACTTGCACGATCCAAATAATACAATGTACATTAAACCTGTAAACAGCATTGTAACATATATGTTCATTAGAAAATAATATAATGTAAATTAAAATACAGTAAAATGTTCTTTTTCATGTACATGCATGATCATTTATAATAATTAAATTCTATAAATTACCAAATGTACATTTACTTTATGAATAATGTTCTTTAATATTATCATGTTCTTTCTTAATATTAGAATATTCTTTAGATATACAAAAAAAACATAAAGTTGGATGTTCTTTATAAAATAGCTATATGCTCTTTACAAATAAATTATAAGTTCTTTACAAATTAACTATATGTTCATTCCGCTTTTTTAATGAAACATATGTACCATGCTTGGTACATACGCCTCCATGAAGAAAATTTCACTTTTAGGAATGTATAATGTTTCGGTTACAAAACAATGGACCTTCGGCAGGTCCTTCGTAAGAGTGGAGATGAGGCCCAATTCGAGAGATGTCCAAATTGAGGGTTTCCTACACAGCAAAATACACGTAAACTGGCCCCGGGGGTGTGTTGATGAAGGCCCCTCCGATGCCGAAGTCAGTACGGTGTATAAAGGTAGAGAGAATAGCTATGCAAGAGGTTTGGTTGCTTGAGGCTATATGTGAATGAATGTAAATGTTGCCAAATGATGCACTTTTATACCTTAGCTTTGATGAGTAATATGGGCCTTTGGAAGTCAAGTGGGCTTGCCACTTGGACTAGACCATGGACTGACACAGCATTTTGGATAGAGAGATGAACCTTGCCATTGGGCTTTACTTATTTTCATTTATGGACTGGGCCTAAATAAAAGTTATTTGGACCCCAAACAACTTGCCCCCCAGACCCGATTCGTGAGGATAACGGGTCGGGTTTTCTGATTTTTTGAGAAATTTGGAGGGAAGGAAATGAAAATAATGTAAAGTAGGAGAAGTTTAGAGGTTATTATCACTAATAACGTTAACTTATGAATGATTGGAAGTAATGGGGAAGTGGAGTAGATTAGTGGGCATTAATTGGAGGAGAATACGAATAGGTACAGAGTAAAGTGGGATGAAGGGGGTAATTAGTGGCGTGGACCTCGAAAAATTTGTTTCCAGAGGACATTTAAGCCACTCATTCCTTAATTCTTGCTTACTTTACTAAAATTCGCACGAACAAACCCGCATTTCGCTAAGCTTTCTCCTGTACACAAATCTATTTCGCACTTAAATCCAACAATCCGAGGCTTTTGGATGAAATTTGTTGCTCCGATCGTAGAAATCGGCGAATTCCGTATTTAACCTAGGTAATTTTTTTCTAAAATTCCCTTAGCTTTCTTTGATTTTAGAGCTT